GGGCGGATCCGCCCCTGAGTCCATTGCTATCTGGGCCGTCTGGATAACAGCAGACTGACTGCTGGTAAAATATACGACAGGTCTGGACCACTCCTGAATTTTGTTCGTATCTGAAAAAAATCTTAGAATACGAAAACATTGGTGAATGCCACAAATTCTCCTAAATCACTCGTACGCACAACTTAAGAACAAATCTGTGCGTACCAACGGTTCTTGCATGAGGCCCATTGATTCCATCGCTCCCATTAAAGTGAAGTCGTGTCTGGTAGGAACAAGTCTCCATGGAGATATACGTAAACAAATCTACAAGACAACTTTGCCATAGGGCGTAAAACACAAGTTTATATTTTTTTATTAAATCTATAAAGAAAGACTGCGTAACTATTATTCCACACTAAAACGTGCAAGTTCTTTGCGGAAATCATACGCAAAAACATTAACAATGCTCGAGCTCTYTTTGCCACAGTGGACAGGCTTACAAACCCTCCTTTGACTAAACCACCGTAACTCCAATCTAACATGGCCTGCAATGACTTTGCAAACTTCTTTGCAGAGAAAATTAAAATATATAGAGGATTAATCTGCACATCAACACTAAATACAATACTAATGCTATGCCCGAACATAACAAATGCAGAAAATAAACTAGAAGCACTCAGAGAGTGCAAACCTCCGCCAAGTCCAATTTCCTCCATCCTGTAAGAGTTAATGCACAAAAGCAGGGATGGAAACACATTTGCCGAATAAGTTCTGACGTAGTGAACATTTAAGCAGGCAGTATGCACGGGATTTCTTCCTGGTGGAGTCTAATGTGAGAAAAATAAAAATAAAAAGTCAGATTCGTCACCCGACATTATTCATGGTCAAACTGGMGTMGGATTAAGCTCCTAAGTTTCCATCAGTCACATTTCACCATGTAAAACGTCTGTTTTATCTCCTTGTATGAGTTTGTAATGGTTTGACTCTCTTTATAAAGTGCTTCCTGGTACCGTCGCTCTGGAAGCGAGTGGGTCAGCGCGACCGAAAACATGACCTCGCCCCTTGTCTCATTTAAATAATAAAAATGGACAAAATAAAACAAACAACCTCCGAGTCTGAAGTCCACCGCACCTGAGTGCATCACTCCTCTTCCTCGTTCTTCATCGATCTGTTTACAAGCCTATGACAATGTGGTGTGTTTGAGGAAATGGGAATAATAGGTTTCATGGTGCAATCACGCACTTCCTGGTCACAAGGTGTTCTTTAAATGCGCACCAAATGTGTACAAATGCGCACATTATGGCAAGACTTATGCATCATTACATCTGGTTTTAATACTACTTTTATAAAGTTTGAAGTCCGGCTGTGTAATCCAGTTCAAATGACCACTGAACGCTCTCACTGGTTTTTTACAGAAGCCCTGTGAAAGCATCACAGCTTTGCCGATCTGAGAGGATTAAAAGAAAAAAATTCCTGTATCTGCACCGTGATCCAGAACACCACCAAAATTTAATGGTGGGTTATTTGGGCAAGTACCCACAAGTGCTAAAAATGTCATGACAATCTGTCCACAAGTTTTTGAATAATGTTGTCCACAAACAGACCGACCGACCGACATACGCGACCGAAAAACTTACCTCCTTGGCAGAGGTAATAATTAAATAAATTTCAACTACTCAACTATAAGAGCTTAGAAGAAGACATTTTAAAACAATTAAACTCCTCCACATGCTTTCTTGACAGCATACCCACAAATTTTATTAAGAAAGTCCAGCCAGTCATTGCATCTGATCTGATTCAAATAGTAAATTCATCCCTCTCATCAGGAATTTCCCCCCAGGCTTTAAAAACAGCAGTCATCAAACTACTGATAAAAAAGAACAATCTGGACAAATTACTACTGCAGAATTACAGACCAATCTCAACCCATCCATTCATCAGCAAAATAAGTGAAAATGCTGTGTTTCAACAGTTAAATAATTTCCTAATGATAATCAACCACTTTAATGTTTTTTAGTTGGTTTCTGTGCTCACCACACTGCTCCCCACAATACAGAGACTACCCTCGTCAAAGAGTTCAATGATGTCCATATTAATACAGACTGTGGAAGAACCACAGTGCTGGTTCTGTGGGACCTCAGTGCAGCATTTGACACCATCAATCATGACATATTACTGAAACGACTGGAAAGTACTCAGTTGAGTACCTAGTACTTAACTGGTTTGAATCTTACATAAAGAACAGGGACTTCTCATCAAAACGAATAGAGGTCAGATGTGGGGTACCCCAAGGTTTAATCCTAGGACCCCTCTATTATCTATATGCTCCTGCTAGCTCAGGTTATAAAAGGAAATAAAATAAGCTACCATAACTACGCAGATGATGCACAGCTCTACATTACAATGTCACCAGGTGACTCTGAACCTATCCATGCACTAAACAGATGCTTAGAACAGATAAATGTGTGGCTGTGCCAAAACTTTCTCCAGCTGAACAGAAACAAAACTGAAGTTATTTTCTTTGGACTTAAAGAGGAAAGATCTATAGTCAACGCATAGCTTCAATTGCTCCAACTAGAAACGAACCGTCAGGCCTGAAATCTGGGTGTAGTGATGGACTCTGACCTGAACCTTCAGAGCTACATAAAGACAGTCACATGGTTGGCCTTCTATCACCAGAAGAACATTTCCAGGATTAGAGGATTGATGTCTCAGGACAATCTAGAGAAACTCATACGTGTTTTTATGCATTTTCACTAAAACCAGGAATATAGAGCATATCACCCCGGTTCTCAAGTCCTTACACTGGCTCCCTGTAACTCAGAGGACGGACTCCAAAATATTATTATTTTATAAATCACTTAATGGCTTAGCACCACATTAAACAAAAGATCTGCTGTTGTATCAACCTTCCAGACCTCTCAGGTCTTCTGGTTCTGATCTGCTCTGTTTCCCCAGAACCAAACATGGAGAAGCAGCATTCAGCTTCTATGCACCGTAAATCTGGGGCAAACTTTGTGAAAATTGTAAAACAGCCGAAACTCTGAGTTCCTTTTAAACCAAGACTGAAAACCCATCTGTTTAGGGTTGCTTATGAAACATTATAAATCAAACATTAATCAACATTTTGATGTGTAATGATGGCACTTGACAAACTAACAATTTAATTGTTAACTGTGTTCTATGACTTTATATTTTTATGTTTTTATGATGTAAAGCACTTAACTGCCTTGTTGCTGAAATGTGATATACAAATAAACTTGATTGATTGATTTATGTCTTTATCAACATCTTTAGTTTCCTCTCCTGGCTTTATATTTGCATTCCCTGCTCGATGCATGTTCCCAGAATGGGAAACAGTGACATTCAATGTTGCATGAAATGACTGCTGAATCTAAATCAAAGTTGTGCCAAGACCCAAAGGCCCYCTACCACCCTAATTATGATTGGCTAGTGGCCTATCTAGAGTAGGGTTGCCATGATTAGTCAACTAGTCGACGACTAATTGACTATTAAAATAGTCGATGACTAATTTGATAGTCAATTTACTCGTTAGGTTTAGAGGTATGGTGTGAATTAAGTTTTGGTTCAGGTTAGGGTTAACTATAGACCAGTAATGGTTAATTTTACTAGTTAGGTTTAGAGGTATGGTGCGAGTTAAGTTCAGGTTAGGGTTAACTATAGACCAGTAATGGTTAAATTTAGGGAAAATGTCTGGGTTAGGCATTAATACAGTTACAAAAATGAATGGAAGTCAATACAATATCCTCAGTTTGATGCAAATACAAGGATGTGTGTGTGTGTGTGTGATTTGTGCGTTTATGAGTGTGTACCTGGATTGAATGGCGAGGTAAATGGTTCTTCTGAAAGCAACCAAGTTGACTTCTGTTTTGTCAAAGATGGTCACCTTCTCACCTAAGAGGGACACAAAGAGATTAAACATATTTTTGTTATTAAATAGTTAAAAGTATCAAAGAGCTATCAAAAAAAGCCATTTAAAAGATTTTCAAAAATCAGGACCTTCTAAACATTAAACAAGTTAGTAACCTAACCCTAGTCCAAATTAAATATTGCTCTTGAACCCTTGGCAGTAAATTCACAAGCCCAGTCTCTATTTAAAGCTATCTACCTGAGTTTTTAATATCAGCAGTCATAATTTTTGTAACTTTAACTAGTATTTAGTTATTGAAGTTAAAATGCACTATAACCATTAACTTTTTTCTTTACATTTCCAAAACTGCGTGTTGAACAAAAGGTAACTTGACTGGCTACACAGCTGGGGTGTCAGAATGAAGCTCAGAGCTGATTGGCCGATTCTAGCCAATCAATCATGTGTACCATGAACAGGTGGGACATGAGGGTCTTGCCAGACATTTTGGGCTCTGGAGAGTCTATACATGAACCCAGTTGGTCAAAAGAGGTGTCAATCGAAAGAAGACAACCAATCAAATTGTTTAAACAGCATATAATGCAAATTCAAATTCCCTGGTAGGCTATAAATAGGGAGGAAGTAACCACAAACAGGGAATGTAACGTGGGCAGTACATTGGTGGTTAAGAGGTTACAATAACACTAAATAAAACCACAGTAATTTATCTTACCTTCATCCTCGTCTTCATTCTCATCACCTTCATCTTCATTCTCATCACTTCCGTCCCCCTCTTCCCCTGAGTCACTGCTGCCCTCATCTAGGATATCTGATGGAGGAGAAAGCTGATTGGTTAAATTGTGAGGGAGGAYATGYTTTATTTGACAACTGAGTGTTTCAAGTTTTCTTACCTCTTTTAATCGTTTTGTATTTCTCCTCGTTTTCAAGAAAGTCTGGGTCCATCTTAAACACATCTGTGCAAACACACAAACATTTAGCTGCCTTGAGGTGCAGGTATATGAATAATAATGTCTGTAAACATATTTATTTTTGCTCCCCCTTATGTATGTCTTACTAAGAATGTCCTCCGTGTTGTACTCYTCATCCAGAGGGAGCATGTGGGTGAACTGGTCATCCTCATCCACCAAGTCCAGGCCATCGGGGATAATTGGGTGATCTTTGAAATGATCCTTCCTGATAGCAAACATCACCTCAATCATGTACTGAACCCTTTTATCAATGGTTGACTCGTGYAGGATATTCCTGAGACGCTCAAATATGGCTGAAAAGAGAAAAACATGAACATACTGTAAACCGTTTCTGTTCAGTTGAACCAATATTTTATTCTATGAATTCAGAAAAATGGTTATAGGTAAAGAAATATGTTTTATGCTTTAAAAATGATTGTGCCTATAAAGTCTGTTATTATTACATGAAAAAAGTGAGTTTTGCATAATAGGTGCCCTTTTAAAAAAACATGTTTATTTATCTAATGAAAACACAAATATTTTATGGGAAGTCACCAGGATTTACATTTTTGCTTTTCAAYCAAATATTTACCATCAATGAAGTATCTTCCTCAACAATGTCTTATTTGGATTAGTTTAGCTTTAACAGTTAAAAACTTTTTGTTTCAGTAATTGCAGTTCTGAAATCTGAACCCATTAATTAACTGTAACTGAGAACAGAAACACAAGCATCACTAACGGCACTGAGGTTTCAGGACGAGATAATCTGATGTAACAGCAGAAATTAACTTCCTAAATCAAACCCTACATAGTTTTATGTTTTCCAATTTCAGTTGAACATGTCAAGTTGTACGGATTGTCCATAAATTACAGGTTTTCTCCAATTTTGTAGGTATACAGGTGTATAAGATAAATTTAAAATATTTTTTTCAAATTTATTTTACATCTCATGGCCTCAAGACAGCTGTGGCTTCACTGTAGTTTACCATCATCTGTGTGTGAATGAATGATGTAAAGCGTCTTTCTGTGTACTAAAAATGCACTATATAACAC